ACATTTTGTCACATTTTTTTTCATTTGAGCTATTGGATCATCATTATCTAGGTGCTCACACCGATTGGTTACTGTGACTTGTTTGATTTCTGAGGAATAACTCTAACAACAAGTGTGACTCGTTGTCCTGGTCTCCTGTCAGTCAAGGCTGGGCTCAGATAATAAGCTGAAGAAACAGAGATACTGGAAAACCTGAGCAGGTCGGAGGTAGATGGAAGGGGAAAAGAGAGGTAGGCGAAGCAGAAGTGAGGCAAAGTAACGCCACCAAGGTGTAACGGAGAGAAAGAACCCGGCTCGTGAAAACTAGGGATGCAGTGAGCATCTTTGGTGAGAGGAGAAGTAGAGAGCGAAAAGAAAAAAAAAAGGTGCGAGAATGAGCGGGTGGGAGTCAGGACTCGGCGTATGTGTGAGGAAGGAAGTTAAGTGTGATGCCGTGTGACTAACGGCTGCTGTGAGGAGCCGAACTCCGCTGATGACTTTCTGCTGTCCTGCAGAGACGGAGACCCACTCAGCTCATTAAAACTTACAGCGAGCGTCTAATGCTCAGTCCTGTGTGTGTCAGCGCGTCTGGCTGCACTTTATTTAGACCAGAGGTGTACCGATGACTGCAACGGCTTCTGTTCGACGTATCCTCATACGTACATGATCCCCACAACAATGTTACGGTAGATGCTTCCTCTGTCGACAGAGAGTGATGCATTCCATCTGCCTAACGTGATATATTCTTGCTGTTGGGATTTATTTGGCTCAGAGATCCATCAGTCTGTGACATCTGCATTGCCTGACACACTTTTCATGGCAAGCACAGCACAATTTTTTTTAAAAGTTCAAGTCATATTTGTGCAYGACGCTTTAGTCCTGTTGCATCTTCAGATAAAGGCCTTCAAAGATGGCAGAGTGTTGCTGTGAGTCAAAAGGTTGGAGCTCACAGCTTCACGAGAACATGAGTACTGTATTGTGCCTTAAGCGTCACACTACGTTCTCACAGTGACAAACCTTTTTTTTTCCTTCTCCTGCTTCTGTTTGTCAGCCGTTTTTGTGAACTCTGTTCTCTTCTGGAGACATTTCTTAAACCTCCTTTGAGAAAGCTCTCATACCAAACAACAACTGCCAAAAGTTTTCAGCATATCCCCCAAAACAGCAAGGAGCACCTCCCCCGGGCTTTTGAAAGTTGATAATTTTATAGAAACTCTTTTGGCAACATATCCTCTCCTAAAAGCTCTGCAAGTCATTAGAAGGCTTTTTAAATAAAATCGTGAACCTCCAGCAAAGCGCTCGGATAAGCCTTGAGGGTAGCTGTAAGCAGTAATCCCTCTGCATCACCTAGGCAGGCTTAGTGGAAACTCTTGCTTTCTCACGCGTGCAGACTTCCAACAACACAGGCGAGTAGATGATTCATACAATTCTCGCTGAGATACCATGCAGCACGTGCGTTGCAGAACATAAAAAAGTCAGGGATTTGTGCAGTATGAGGAATTAAAAAGCYCTTTGAAGCTGCTGCTCCTCAAGCATCTTGTGAAACTCCGGGTCAAAAAGTGAGCTGTCGGCCTCTGTGATGTGGTTGAGGCTGCCGGTTGATGCAGAAATAGTAGAGAGCGAGGAACAGCTGAGCTGAACAACCGCTCAGCGGCTTCTTGTGACCATCCAACAATGCACCCTTGGATTAGTCCCACAAATGTGATGAGTGTTCCCACTTAAAACTTCTCCATTTTTGTTTCAAAACCACACTGGGCATACCTCCAGTATGCTTAAAGCTATTTGTTGCAAAGTCATGAGAAACTGTCAAAAAAAGTTTTAAATCATAAAGTAGGAAATAAAATCTGCACTAATACCATATGGATTGTTATTGTGTCTTTAAATAAAAAAATTGTGATCGGATGCCAACTACCATAGGCATTTATTTACCTACAGAAACAGCCGAAGTGACTGAAAACGGGTCAACATTGGTGATGTACCAGGAAGAGCTGTTTGAGGTTGAGAAGTTGGTAGACATTTAAACTCAGATTTGTTCAGTAACGTTTGCAGATAAGATTAATCAGGTTTAAGGTTGGATTGAAACTGTAAATTTACTAGTCTAGCAAAAGTTTTGCAAAAGCCGCATGTTTTGCTGAGCTCTGATCTTTATGGCTCTTAGCTGCTCTGCTTGATCCCCAATATTTATTCCTAGTTTATTTAGTCCTACTTGTTTCGTCACTTGCATTTTGCTTTTAGATGCAGATTGACTCTTAAATTTCCACCTAAACATCTTTGAGATTCTACACTCGTCCAATTCCACCATACCGGTGGTGGGGGCTGGTGGTATATATAAAAATATACCAATATATACAGTATACAGGGGTTAGACAATGAAACTGAAACTCCTGTCATTTTAGTGTGGGAGGTTTCATGGCTAAACTGGACCATCTTCATCTTCAACCGTCTTCATTAATTGCATGTTGCACCAGTAAGAGCAGAGTGTGAAGGTTTAATTATCAGGATAAGAGCACAGTTTTGCTCAAAATATTGCAATGCACACAACATTATGGGTGACAAACCAGAGTTCAAAAGAGGACAAATTGTTGGTGCACGTCTTGCTGGTGCATCTGTGACCAAGAAGTCTTTGTGATGTATCAAGAGCCAAAGTATCCAGGATAATGTCAGCATACCACCAAGAAGGACCAACCACATCCAACAGGATTAACTGTGGACGCAAGAGGAAGCTGTCTGAAAGGGATGTTATAACCATGTGTTATAACCAGTTTCATTGTCTAACCCCTGTGTGTGTGCAAGTGTATATTGTGTGTATGTATACATACATAAATACATACATACATATAAAGATTTGTTAGCTGCACGTGCTGTTAGCCTGTCTGTGATAAAACCACAGAAAACCATTCATTTTGACAAGTTTCCTTTTGCTGGATTTGAATACTCTTTGGTCTATCCACCCCYAGCCTCTTCACTTCCAGTTTTTCCTCCAARCACATGAAGGAAAACGGGTGAGAAATTAAATAATCCACCTCGTTTTTGTCAGTCTTTCTCACCATTGTACCTACTCGGTCTACGCCAAACCACKCCCACGTACACTCGGGCTCGAGGCACGTTATTGGACGTCCACCCTCCCTGGGCAAAGCCTGTGGCCTTGGGCTGACCCTGGGACGAACAAAATTAACCTCAATGAGTTGCAAATTGAAGGGGCGGGATCAGATGACTGTCAATCATTCTGCACCATGAAAGACATAAAATGAGTGGGGCTRTGAAAAGGTAGTCCTCTGGAAAGACTCGGGGATTTTCTCAAGACTTCTTGGCACCAGTTTTGTTGTAAAAGCCCACTTATATCAGCGATCCCTGGTTCTCAGACTTTTTCTGTATGATCCCCTCTTCGGAGAAAAAACATTTTTATCCTCATTTATTAAACTTGTTTTATGTTTGGCTTCACTGTTTGCAATAATGTTAGACAACATTTTCATTTAGTTGCATTTTAACCCTGCTGATAACACCACCCTCCCTGCTCTCACCCCCAGCTGTCTCCATAAAGGCCCTGAGCACTTCCCATGATGTTTCCCATTTCGGAGCAGAATCCGCCCCCCACTCCCTTTTTTTWAAATCCCACAGTGGCAGACAGTATAAATGAAGTCACTGCTCAGCCTTAAGCGCTGCCCAATAACTTTGTGTATGCCTCTCCCTGAATTAGCTGCGATGCTCTGACTGCGTCTTGTCGGTGGGTGAGTGCCAGCCGAGCAGAGCTAATGACAGCTAATGACTGTTTACGTTGACAGGATCGTTGTCACCCCCCTCCCCTCCAAATCCCCCCATCCCTGCAACCCCACCCCRGTCTCCAGCTGTTGTTATTATTATCATCACTACACTTCTTTTGATAAGTCTCCACAGACGCCCGTTTAAGTGTTTGCTTGATGAAAAGCCCTCCTGAATCCAAGCGGTTATGCCAAAATCATGTTTCTCTGGGAGTTTTATTTATTTATTTATTTATTTATTTATTTATTTTCCCATTGTTTAATCGAGATAGGAGTCAGGAGAGGAGAGCTCATGTGCTTGTATCCTAGCACGATTGCCAGCAACTTGTGTGTGTTTTTGTGTGTGTGTGAGTGAGCACGGCAGATGATGAAGAACAAATTGAAAATGAGATGGCTTGCAGATTTTTTTTTTCATCCATCGATGCATCCGTGTGTGTGCGTGGTTAATTTATTCAGGTTATTTTCTCTTTTCCAGACCCATGCAAATGAGACTGAATGGGAAAGGATGACAGGCRTCGAGGCACAAACAGACAGCCTCATCTGTGCCTTCCCTGCTAACTGCCTTGCTCCCAGTTCTCATCTTTGCACCGGCCTGCCTTCACCCAGAAAACAGCCATACGTGTGCGCTCCCCCTTAAAGCTTTTGTCCGGACAAAAAGCTCTAAAATGCTACAACGCGCTAACCTCAAGAGGGTTTCTGTCACCTGGTGAATTTCCTGTTTGTTTCCATATGATAAGCTTTGAACAAGCATTCGGTTTGGTAATAAGGGACCAGCTCGGCGCTAACAATTGATGCTAATACCAGTCGCCCAAACAAGCGACAAGATTGCATTGTCCCAAAATCGTTTGATGTTTGCGTGCGCGTTTGGCCGCCTGTTTGTGTTGCTGAAAAYATATTAAACTCTCTGCTGAAATGGATACACTGCCATGAGCACTATCACTGTTGTGTGAGAGAGCGGGGACAGAGGCTAATAGTTCTGCTGTAATTAGTTTGAGATTTAGCGTGAAGATGCCATGTGTTGTTGTTCGGTGGGAATTATCATAATGAAATGTGCTCTCTCTCTTTGTTCTTTTTTGTCCCCCCTTTTTTTCATCCCCCTCCTCTTTTATCTCCCTTCCTCCTTTGTTCTAGCTTTTTTTTTGCCCATTCCTCTTCCTAAGCTGCCCCATAATTGTTTGGACCACATTTTTCATTAACCCTACCTGTCTAACCTTGTTTTTCCTTCTTTCTTCTCCCCACTTTTTCTGTTTTTTTTCCTACCACCAGAGGTGCCGGTGTCATCWGTGCTTTCTCTGTCTTCGGTCCGAGAGCTGCCGGTTCAGGTCAGGGACCTCTATGCGCAGGGATTCGTCCTGGTGGCCGTGCACCCGTTCGTTCACCCCTGTGGGCCTCGCCATGCGCACATCCAGCGCCAGCTCCACCGGGCCGTGTTGGTCCGAGAGACCCACAGGTATCCTAAAAACACCTTTTTCTCCAACAACAGCATCAACTCTGCTTAWGAAAATACTTTGAACTGTAAATTTCTTCACTGTAGGTTGATGAAGATAAATGGGACGATTAACTCACAGCCAGATTTAGCTAACAATTAGAAGGTGCCCGCGTGTGTGACTCCATTGTTTTGACACTGGAGCCAACTGAGACTCATTACCACAAGCTTCCTCACCTCCTTATGTTAATGTTAAATTAATTGTAGATGATTCAGCCTCTAAAATCGCTCAGTTCAGCTCACTATCCCAATTCTTTCACTCTTAACTATGYTAAATTTACTGCGGTTTACTTAAAATGCACAGTTAACTCATTAGCATGTAGTGCCACCATGTTAGCTAATTTTTCAYGTGTAACCACTTTGACTTAATCTCCCAATCTTATAGTGGAGGTTATTGATAGATCTAATCCATTTAATCCAGACTCTGAAATACCTAAAGTCTTACGAMACGTCAGTTGTTTCCAGGACTGGTATCAATACTTCACAGGGTTTGCTTTGGTCAAATATGAGCAAAATAACGCAGAAGGGCCAGAAGCAGYCGCTTTAACATCCTCATACAAAATAAATGAAAATCAGACTTTTAGTAATGACTCACACTGAAAGGTAAAGCAAGCCTAAACATTTTATAAAAAGGTGTTTTTTTAATTTTTTTTTTACTAAAATGAACCTCATCCTTTCTTTAGCAAGTTAAGGTTGACCTTATTGTGATAATTCTAGGTGAACATGCGGCAAAAAAAGACTAAACAGTCTTAATGTAATATTTGASTAAATTAACCGACACGTGTTTATTCACAGGCGTAGTTTTATAYGATGAGAGTAAGTGTCAGGGTCATGTTTTCATACAAAAAAAGAAATGATTGTAGATGTAGATGGAATACTGAGCCCATGATTCAGTGCCATTCATATCCCTTCAGTTCTATTATTAAATCAAAATGATGCTTTGGATTTTAAAGCAAGTAAGCCACCTGTGACTTAAAGTCTGTTTGGACCTGGCTCTAACAAGCTCAATTACAAAATGACAGCTTTAAACATGTTTGCTCCTGGCAGTGCCATTTGTTCCAGGTGATCATTTACAAGCTTTACGTTATACATATGTAGCTGAGCAACAAACAGGACAGACAGCTCTACTGATACTCCTGTACAATCACAAATACATTCTGCCTCCTGTGATATATTATTCTGTAAAATGAATTTATTTTATTTTAATTCACCTCAGTTGTAATTTTGTGGTGTTATTTAGAAATGTCTTATCAGGCTTAGTTATGTAAGCTAACAGAAGTGATATAAAGGAAGTACAGAAGCTTATAATGATCAGTGACTTTATAGACAAACAGCCAGTATTCCACAGATGGACTGTCAGCTGTTCTCTAACACAACATCTTTGAACACAAGTGCTGTGAGCCGATATACTGTATGTGACGACGCAGCAAAGCCCAGACTCTTGTGATATTTACAAAGCATTTTATAATATAACCATAGCTCCAAACGGTCTCGCTAATCGATATCATTTCAACAAATCTCAAAAAGAGGGTTATTTAAACTTTGAGCCTGAGAAAACCTGTATTTAGAGTATTCCCTCCTGTTTTTTTAAAATCCTGTTTTGGTAAACAACTCAAGACTGACAGATTATCCCAAAATCTTACAGATACATTCATGGTTTATGGAGTTTCCACAGTCGCTGAGTGCGTTTTTGTGGGGAACAGAGTGGAGCCCATCCCTGCTGTCATAGGGCAAGAGGCGATGCACGCCCTGGTCAGGTCGCCGGGTCAGCACAGAGAAACACAAGACAAAATAATAAAAAAAAGTCAATTTAACCAGGTTAATTCRTCCAGCATGCATGGATTTGGATAATCGGAGGAACTTAAAGAATCTGGGGGAAATGTATGCAAACACAAGGAGAACAGACTAACTCCACACAATCGWGTCAAACTACGACCTCCTTCCTGTCAGTGACAGTGTGAACCATCACACCGCTGTGCAGCCACAACCCCCCTAAAAAAAACCTRTAGTCTCACAATTTCCAACTATTTGCGCAACTTATTAGTTGGCACGTAACAATCCCGACAGCGAACGGAATGAATTCGCTTCGTTTACACTCTTGAACGTTTCCTGCACCTTCAATGTAAATTCAGATAATTATGATTTTTGTATACACACACACACACAAACACGCACATTAGCAGGTGCCAGGCTGTTACTTTGATGCCCCTCCTGCCAAGCTGTCCTGCTGCTTCCTGGCACCTGTCACTGTGGAGACGGCTGATTGCATCATCAGTGCTCGCCAGAGGGGAACGGCACACTGAAAGCGAGAGACCGTCTCGCTGTCCTTTCATCTGCTTCCTTCAGCGACGACACCCCCCACCCCCAGTTTTTTTTCTTTTTGTCCCAGTCACCCTCCTTTGTCCCCTTTACTCTGCCTTTTATCTCCCCATCATCACCATCCCTTTCATCAAAAACCATAAAAATGAAAGGAGAGCAAAAAAAATTCTGACTGATCCACTGTTTCAAATCTAGCTGAGAATGTCACTCACGCCTCAGAGCACAAGATATTATGACGGCCTTCCCACTGACCTCAATCCAAATCTGAAGAGGCGTATCTGAACGTGACTTTTATGATGGTGCCTTGAGATGAGGGGAGGAAAAAAAATGGAAATTCAGTCCTTTTTTCTGTCTAATAAGTCTTTTGTGGCTGTGGTAAATGTGTGCTCTCCCTAAATGGAAAATTCCCCCTCCATCAGATTTGACATTATGTTTCTGCTGTGATCATTCTGGGTCAACAAGTGCTCCTGAAGATGTCTGCCAGAATCTTTCAAGCCGGGGCTCATTCTGACTGTAATGTTACCGAGTGATGGGCTGTAACTGCTRTAATTACAAGGGACAGGAAATAAAMCTGCAAGAAAGTCCAGAGGGATTTTAATGGTGCACTTCAGATTTTCAAAGTGGAGTTCTATGGAAAGGTTATGGACAAATAACATCTTACCTGTTGTAGATARCTCTTTGAGTTACCTCAGTGAAAAAAAAAACAAGTTTATTCTGATTGGACTGATAAAGCTAAATGCTAGTTTGAACACAGCCAAGACCAAAGTTGTCTGATTTATAAAAAAAAAAAGCGAACATGAGATTTCTGCAGGAAGTACCCCTGACCACATTGAAAAGGAAGCAGTTCACTCAACTGTGACTGTTGGTGGCCTGACGTTTTTTTTTTTTTTGTTTTGTTTTGTTTTTTGGAGAAAAAAAAACATTTTCATTTGGAAACATTCTGCATGAACTTCCAGAGACATTTTGGCCAAATCTTGCAAAGAGCTTGCATACAGATTGACAGAAAAATACAGTTCTGGCGCTCTAGAATTACAGTAACTGAACTGAGAAGGGTTTGCATGAACCATTGTTAAACTTGGAGTTGTTAAAGTGGAGTTGTATAAAGACAGCAGTAATGCAGTAATCATAATTAAAACCCTTCAAACTGAGATCATTCAAGGCGCTTTCTACAACAGGAAATATATGTTTTATATTGTTGCCACTTTGTGAAATCCAAACTTTGCTGATCTGAAACATTTGATCCACAGACTTTATGTTAACTTTTGTGCTTTTTTTTTCTCCTTTTTTTTCTCTTTCGTTTTTGACCTCACAGTTCAGAGAAAAGCCATCTGAAGTGGGCAAGAAATCGCCTGGAGACAGACGTCTGCGTGGCCAGCCAACAGGCTGCAGACCCAGAGATGATTCAGAGCTATGTCAAAAAGGTTAGTTCAGAGCGCGGCACATCCGCCTGTTGGAAAAGCGACGCGGTCGATGTTCCGCTTCTTTTCCTCAGAAMGACAGTTCTGAAAAGATGCGCTTTATTTTGAATCTTAACACGTATTTATAAGATTGCAACRTGATCAAACAGGACTTTAGCAGCTCATTTCTAGGATTATTTTGTGCAAAGTCTTTCTAGTGGTAACATATGGTGGTGGTTCTAACTGACTGGCGCTGAATGCCTCTCACTTAATTAAAAGAAACTGTGACAAGAGACTGTTTTTTTTCTAGGAAAGCACATTTCCAAGAATTGTTCTCACCAGACTTTTATTAAAATTTACATAAACAGTTAATGTTAGATTCAGTTCTCTACTAACATCACACTTGTTACGGTGTGTGTGTGTGTGTGTTTGCGTAGCTTTGCAGCAACACTGTGGCAAACATCACAGTGCTTAAAACGTTCCAGTCATCGGGCTGTAATTGTTTGCTTTTGCCAAATGATAAACCGTTCTTTTGGTACTGACATGCCGAGCTTCTTTAGCTCAAATGAAGCAGATTTAATTAGTGACTTTTCTTTCTTTGACTACTTGTGAATTTACATAATTGAATAAATTTGTGTTAATGGTAGCTGAGCAAGAATCAGGAAATCAGCATACTGGGACCCACTTGTTGCACATCTTGCGCTCTTGGCTTTGCTGTAACAAGTGATCATAAGAAAAAAATGGAAGGTTAAAGTTATTTTGGTAAGTCATATTCAAAGCAAAACCCAGAATTTTCTAATCACAGCATCATTGTTGGTATTTCTTGCACTGTGCAATTAAGATGTTGTTGTCCAAGTTGTTCTCATCAGTATTTTTTAAGTTTTCTGAAGGTCTTCCAATGTTTTTTTGAAATACTGGTGGCTTTTGTACATATTTTAAACGCAAACCTTCAAAACATTTTATTTTATTGCTAAATCACCTAATTACTCACTGTACACTAAAATGAACAAATAAAAGAACAAGAAAAAAAAGAGACCTAAAGCAAAATGTATGAGAAAGTAACATCCTTTAAATTAAAGGGCGACTGGTATTAAATTGATATTTTGCTAAGATGTCCATTTATATTATTGAGTATTTTTATTGCTTAAATGTTAAGCGAGTTATCAAATAAAAGAAAACTAAAATTGAAAATGAGCTGGTACAAGAATTGGAATGTTGTCTTAAAAAAWACAAATATGGCTCAAGACTTTTGCACAGCGCTGCCTCCGCTGTCGCGCTCATTCTCAGTGCTCATGAATACGCCAGTGGTCCTACATTGGGAAATGAAAATGTGCTCTATTGAATAGATTTGCATCTGAACACCCAGCGAGCACAAAGGGAAGCCTGATTGGATGGAAATGCACATCACTGAGCATAATGTGATCGGCTCCGGCAGCGTGACATGAATAACCAATCGGATCACAGGCCGACACGGGGAGAGAGTTTGAGATAAGAACCCAGGAGCTGCAGACAGCGACAGAGAAATTCTATACTTCTCTTTTTCCAGTACTAAACCAGTCTGCCCACTCTCCTCGTCTCTCTGGACCATCTGATCAGATAAAACTGAAGCGTGTGTGTAAATTGTGTTTGTGGGCGAAGGAGAGAGAGACTCTTCAAAAGTTACGTGTGCGTGCGTGTTTAAGTGTCATATTTWATGGCTAATGGAAGAAGATGCGTCTCGTTATCGTTCTGCGCTGGTTCTGATCTGATTCCTTTCCCRTCGAGTCTGTCAGCACAAATATCAGCTGACAATTAACCACCGGGGGAGATGGGGTGGGGTACGCACACACACACACACAACACAAGTGGATGTGTAAAGATAATGAGGTCCTTTTGTCATATGAATATTTGATCTTTTCAGTTGATTAGGTAAGCTGCTATTTTGCAGAAGACCCACCTTTCTGTCTGTCAGCCTTTGTTTGTGTGGAAATTAGGCTTTGTTTGTCARGAGAAAAGAGCCGGGCCGCAGCAGAATTTATTTGTGCTGCACATTTTCTGTTTGTTGCTCCGATTTATGATAGGAGGGGGGGCAATAATGGAATTGCCTGTGTGTGCAAGAGTTAGTTCATGTCTGTGTTAGGGAAACATCTTATGAACAAGTGAACAATTTTGAATGAAACTTAAAAAAAATCAAGCTGACAGCCTGTTAAACTAAAATAACTACAAATTAGTCAGTTTTACAGATATTKAACTCCAGTTTGGTGTGGCAGTAGTTGAGCCATCAATGGGGTGCCGTTTGTAAAGTTACACAGTCAAAAATTACCACCAATATTTTTGTTTTATTTAGCCTTTTATAAGAAAAAAAGAACACATTTATTTTTC